AGTGGTTGCACCCCTGACCAACCTAACAAAAGAAAGACGCTCTTTTTCTTTGGTCCCTCCACTGTCAGTTGGCCTTCACATGACTCAAGAAGGCCTTGCCTCGTGCACCTGTGCTGAAGTTGCCTGACCCCACGCTGCCATTCATCCTGACCAGTGACGCCAGTCAGTATGGCATTGGGGCAGTACTTTAGCAGGATGATCAGAATGGTCTACGACCTGTAGAGTTTATCAGTAAGAAGATCAAAACTCAAAAGCCCCAGGACTCCACCTACGAGAAAGAGCTATATGCTCTTGTTTGTGCCCTGAAACATTGGAAGCACTTTCTCCTGGGAAGACACTTCAAGATCTTCTCAGATCACTCCACCTTACAGTGGATGAAGTCCCAAGGAGAGTTGAATGATAAGTTGGCACGGTACATCAGTTCATAGACATGTTCGACTTTGAACTGAAACATAAGAAGGGCTGCTACAACAAGGTAGCAGATGCCCTCTCCAGTAGGCCTGACTCTTTTGCAGTGATCTCCTCTACTCACTCCTTTGGAGAGGAGACCCGTCAGAGCATCGCTCATCTACTGCCTCAAGACCCGACTTTCAGACCCATAGTCAGGAATCTGCAAGCAGATCCTAACGCTGAACCAGGCTATGCTCTGAGTTCAGATCTGTTGTACACTTACAGCGGAGGGGAGAAGCGCTTCTGCATTCCCCAGGACCAGCGTCTCAGGACACTACTGATGTCAGAGTGTCATGACGCCCGTGGAAATTTTGGGTTCCTAAAGTCATATGCAGCCCTGTCGCAGCGCTTCTTCTGGAGGGAGATGCGGAGTGATATGCTGCGCTATGTGGAAACCTGCGAGCTCTGCCAAAGGAATAAGGTCCAGCGTAGGCCTCCTTTGGGACTGCTAAAACCCTTACTCATACCTGATGGCCCTGCTGAATCTGTGTCGACAGACTTCACAGATTTAGGCAAGACCACCCCTCATGGCATGCGTCAGGTTATGGTCTACGTGGACAGGTTTTCCAAATACGCAGAGTTCATCCCCTTGCCAGAAGTGGCCAGAGTTCCGACTGTGAGAGCAGCCTTTTCAAAGAGGTGGGTCACACACCATGGACCTCCCACTTCTGTAGTCAGTGATCGAGACCCCCGATTTTGCAGCGATGAGTGGCAGTCCAACTGTAAGGACTATCTACACTCACGATTGGACATGACTTCTGGTCATCATCCTGAAGCCAATGGTCTGGTTGAAGTGATGAACCAAGTTTTATTCCAACTGCTGCGTCCTGTCATCTCTCCAGATCAGCAGGACTGGGATCTTCACTTGGCTCGAGCACAGCTTGTGTATAATATGTATGTCCATTCCTCGACTGGGTTCAGTCCATACCGGTTGCACTGGGCACCAGACGCTACCACATAGATGTGGAAAGGGCACGGGCGAACTTGTTCAAAGCCCAAAAGGCGATGATTGAACAAGCTAATCGCCACAGGCAGCCTTCCCCCATCCGCACTGGTGATCATGTCTGGGTAGCCAGTTCTAAGTTGTCGAGGGAGGAGGATATCTCTCCCATGCTGTTGCCTCGTTACCTAGGTCCATGGCAGGTCTTAGATACAGTGGGCGCTGATCCATTTGGTCCGTCCTACGTCATTGACGTCCCGCTGCATCTACGAACCTACCCGGTCTTCCATGCATCTAAGCTGCTTCCCTTCACCCCAACTGATGCATTCCCAAACTGTCCCCCTCAATTCGGTCCACCGATCCCTGGCAAGGGATATGACGTGGACAAGATTGAGGATGAGTGGGGCACAGGCCCCGATCAACAGTATCTTGTGAGGTTCGTGTTCCAGCCTCCTCCTGAGAGCAGATGGTTCTACAGAAGGGAACTTCTCAAGACAGCAAAGTCAATTGTCTTACGATATGAAGCGGCTCAGAAGGGCAACCTTCCTCGCCATTCACCTCATCTGCATCCCTAGCTCGGAGGTCCTCGCTCCCTGGGGCGGTAAGCCTGCAATGACTTGCTAAGTTCGACTGCCGAGACTGACTTGCGAGGTTGTACAGTGTGCTGTGTGCTTGCTGTGTTTTTTTGGTCTGCACCGAGGGCCACCCGCTATTCTAAAAATAGCTAGGACTAACAACAATAGGGGCTGAGTGGTTACCGGCCCTAAGTGGCCCTGAGCCCTAAGTGCAGCAGTAGGACCGGTTTCGTAGAGGCCGAGTAGGCCCTAACTGAACCAGTATCGGCAGGCCCTAGGCTAGAGTAGTGTAGAATCTACAAATAGGTTAGCGTAGGACTGTTCGGGATTTTTTTGGCAATTCATTTTTGCGATACAGCGTTGGAGCCAAGGAGGTTTGCAACGACGATTGTCTGCGGGCGGTACCCTGAGAACCTCACCGTGGACAGCAGCCATAGCGAGCCTGCTGAGGGCTTGCATAGCTAGGGCATCCCCTGCGCATCAACCCCTGTGGGTTTCTGCGAGTGGCTGGGTTGTGTGGAGACTCTTCACTGAGTCCCTGTGGATGGCGGCAGCCATAGCTGCCGGTTCTTCGTCTGGGAGTGGCGAGACACTGGAACAAACTCTGTAACGATTTCTGGTTAATTGGCTCATCATCAGTGTGTATTCCAATTGTTATCCTCGCAGGTTCTTGTGATTGGTTGTTGGGAGTATCTTCAGAGAGTGAGAAACACAGTGTGTCCTCTCCCCATCTGTGCATGGTTGTGCTTCCGCTATCTACTCTGATCTGTGTGCAGTGTGGACTCTGTCTCCTCTCCCCCTTCTCTTATGCATGTATGGGCGTGAGTGAGATTGTCTGTGTGAGTGGCGGTAAAAATCGTCAGACAACCAAGTTCATAACAACTTTCTCTTCCACCCTCTCAAACTCCTCTCCCTCCCATCTTCTTCTTCTCTGGTGACCACACACTGGGCTACTTGATGATGTATATGAATATTTGGAGACATTAAGACTGCGCTGAGACATTCCGTATCTTGACATTGACGAGCTTTTCCCCTGACTGGGTTCATTGCAGAAGGGCCTAGAGGCGAGCTGTTTGCCGCTGACTACATGAACCAGGTCCATTGCTGTGTGAGATACCGTTGTAGTA